TGTAAAGAAAAAAAAAGATCCTCACCGCTAGAGCAATCAATGTCATCATGATAAATGGAGAAAAGGTTGAAATTGTCCAAGACTTCATTTTGCTTGGATCCACAATCAACACTCATGGAAACAGCCGTCAAGAAATTAAATGATGTGTTATGTTAGGCAGATCTGCTGCACAACATCTCTTTAAAGTGGTCAAGAGTAAATATATCAATTTGAAGACTTAGGTGTGCCTGACCCAAGCCATCGTATTTTTGTTGGACTCATATGCATTTGAAGGCTGGACAGTGAATAAGGAAGACTGGAGAAGAATTGATGCTTTTGAATTATGGTGTTGGAAAAGAATAGTGAAAGTACCATAAACTGTCAGAAGAAAAAATAAACCTGTTTTGGGATAACTACAGCCAAAATGCTCATTAGCAGCCAGGATGATAAGACTTCATCTTTCATACTTTGGACATATTACCAGGAGGGATCAGTCCCTGGGAAAGGACATCATGGTTGGTAAAGTGGAAGGTCAGCAAAAAAGAAGAAGACACCCCCCACCCCACCCCCCAATAAGATGGATTGGCACAATGGCAACAGTAATGGGCTCAAGCTTAATGATTGTGAGGCTGGTGCAGAACCAGGCAGTATTTCGTTCTGTTGTTCATAGCATCACTATGCGTTGGAACCGACTCAATGGCACCAAACAACAACAATAAAGAGGAAAAAGAAAGATTCTCCTAAGCATTTTAAACCACAGTCCTGCTCATTGTCGTCTTGAGTTTCAAATTGGTTAAAGCAGTCAGCTGCTAACCAGAAGGTCAGCTGTTTGGACCACCAACTGCTGTGCAGGAGGTTTCTGTAGGCATTTACAACCTTGGACTCTACTAGCAGGCAGTAGGCTTTTGGTTCACTCGGTCTGAAAGATGCCTGGTGGAGCAGTGGTTAAATCACTTGGTTGCTAACTGAAAAGTCAGCAGTTCCAGTCCACTGGCCACTCTGCAAGACAAAGATATGTCAGTTTGTTTCTGTAAAGATTGTTTTTATTGTTGTTGTTAAGTGTCTTTGAGCTGATTCTAACTCATAGCCACCCTGTGTAGTTTCTGAAGAGGAGTTGGTGGGATTGAATCGCCAACCTTGCGGTTAGCTAAGTGCTTGTCCTACATTGCCACACCACATTAAAGCTTTATGAACCCTCTGGGACATCTTACTCTGTCCTGGGGTCTGCCATGAGGTAGAATCTGTGGGGGACCTGCCTCGACATAGTTGTGTTGTTCACGAGTGTTTGGTTCACGAGGAGGGGAGATCCAGCGGCGATAGGGATAGCGAAAGAATACACAGACAAACAGAAGAAGGGAGACAATGAGGCACCCCAAAGCCAGGGTGGATACATCACTGGTGGGCAGGCTTGGGACTACAGGCATCATGGTCTCTGCAGGCAGCAACTCACTGCCCTGCAATCTTTACTGCATGCCTTCCAACCCTTAATGCACTGCAATCTTTACTGCATGCCTTCCAACCCGTAATGCACACCTGGGGAGGCCCGGCCTCTGCTTTATTCAGGGGAGGAGCTTCACATCAAGCTGGGAGGGACCAAAACAGGATACAGCTAACATCAGTACTTTTCCAGACATTCAGGTAACTTTACATCATACTTCGCTGGTTCGAATCCCAGGCTAGCAACTTGGATTCTCAGGCCCAATTAACATATCTATAGCCTCTGAGCTCAGTTGGGGGAAGGTGAGAGGTAAGGACAAAAGCTTGGGCCGAGTCCCACTGTTTGGGCTTCCTGAGCCAGGTCTGCAGGAGGACTAGAGAGGCCCAGGTGAATGGGCTGCACCTGGAAAAGGATTAGGGAGGATGGGTTCTTTGTCTATAGAACAAAGAAGTAGCTAAGATATTTTCAGTTAATCCTTTGGAGAAAGGCTTGACCTTGCAACTTTTAGTCTTAGGCTTTAGGAAAATATCACATTTATCTGTGGATTATCAAAGGCTCCGTTTATTAAATTAATACATATAACTGAATATTAAGATGAAAGACAATTTGCTATTAACTGCCAGTGGCCTCATTTGTTACACTCGGCCCTATAGGGCCTCGAATCTCTGACTAGTCTTACACGGTCCGCAACAAGAATCAATTCCACAGCAACTCGGCTTCAGCTTAGTCCAAAAGTGTGTAAACTGGGAAATTCAGAAGAGGTCTCAGGGTGTTACCTGATAGAAGCAAAACACAAAACCTATATGGTGAGAAGAGCTTTGAAATCAGGCTCCCCACTTTCTCACAGTCAAGCCCTCTAAGGATGAATTGCAATCCCCAATTAAAAAATTCAGGTAACAATTTCCCATTAATATAGCTCTGAGAAGTATAATTTCCCATTATTAAAGCACTGAAAAGTAGAGATGAATATCATTTAGAGACTGTATAATAAATGTTTGAAATGACCAAACACCATAAAGTAAGCCTGAAGAGACCAGGCAGATTTGTAAAGGAATTCAAAAATGAATGGGTTTACTAGCATAGAAAACAAAACGAAGAATAAATCCTGACAGAACAGTGAATTTTAACTGATCTATATGTTTGGTCACTATTGATTCAACTTGTGACTAAGAGTTGTTGTTCTTGCTAAGTGCCTTCGAGTCAGTTCTGACTCATAGTGACCCTATATAGGGTTTCCATGGAGTAGCTGGTAGGTTTGAATTGCTTACCTGTGGTTCATTCACAGTCCAGTGCTAAATCCTACAGCGCCATATCAGGGGTCTTAAGAGTATCACTTTGTAAAATGTTAGGAGTTAGATAAACAGTTTTTACTATGAATTGTTATTGTTACAAGCTGTCGAGTTGGTTGTGATTCATAGCAACCTTATGCACAACAGAGCCAGTCCTGTGCTATCTTTATAACCATTGTTAAGCTTGATCCCATTGTTATTGTCCCGGTGCCAGTTCATTTTGTTGGGCTCTTCCTCTTTTTTGCTGACCCTACACTTTAGCAACCATGATGTGTTTCTTCAGGGACTATACCCTCCTGATAATATATCCAAAGTGTGAAAGACAATGTCTGGTTATCCTAGCCTGTAAGGAATATTCTGACTGTAGTTCTTCTAAACCAGATTTATTTATTCTTCTAATAATCCTGGTAATTTTGATGTTCTTCTCCAACACCATAACTCAAATGTACTAATTTTTGTTTGGTCTTTCTTATTCACTGTCCAACTTTCATTAGTGCTTAACTATTACTATGCTAAGGAACTCTTGTAGTGTAGTGGTTATAAGTCGGGCTGGTAACCTCAAGGTCAGCAGTTTGAAACTACCAGCCATTCCATGGGAGAAAGATGAGGGTCTCTGCTTCCGCAAAGACTTACAGCCTCGGAAACCCTATGCAGGATCACTGAATCAGAACTGACTCCACAGCACACAACCACCACCACCATTTCTATGCTATGAAGAAAATATTTCTTTTTGTGACTAGAAGAAAATGTGGCGCTGGAGGTAAGCACTGGACTGCTAATTCCAAGACCAGCAATTCAAACCCACCAGCCACTCTACAGGTGAAGAGGAGACTTTCTGCTCCCATAAAGATATGCTGCCTTAGAAACCCTATACATGGTGACTGTGAGTCAGAATCAACTTGATTGCCGTGGGTTTGGTTTTTGGTACCATCAAGAAAGCTACCATTCATCGTCTTTCAAAGTGAATGAGGACTTTACCAGCCATTGATTTAAAATAATGACAAATTTTGTTCAACATTTTAACAAATAAGACCTATTATTCACCTTTCTTATTCACTAATTTAGTCCAACTTTAGTCATTTCTCTTTCTGTATCATGAAATTATCTTTCTGTAACCTTTTGGTATCTACTCTTTTTCCTATCTCTTTCTTATTCATAAACTTTTAAGTAATACGTAAGTATACTCATATTTGCAAGTCATTTAAAATGGTTTATTCATTCTATGTTAAAAAAATTAAAATGAAACAATAACAAATCCTATTTTGCTTGCTTTCTCTATAATTGTCATTTATCTTGATTCTTACCGTCTTATTCCTGTACCAGCTAGGCTGCAGACAAGTATAGTGAAAGTGTGTGCTTCCATAGCTATTCTCATTTCTCCACATGAGTTGGCTGCTTTGATGTGGGCTAGAGTGAGGAAGAAGAAACTCTTCATGTTCCTGTCAAGTCCAGATTTTACTTTGAAATATTCTTACTTTGGCTTCTACTAGCATAAATTCTTGTCCTGCCTTAGAATTTTTGAACTGAGTGTTCAAATTTAATTTAAAAAAGTACATTAATGAGATATGTTGACTCCTGGTGTGACACTTTGGGATAAGCATTGGACTGTTAACTATAAAGTCAGCGGTTCAAACCCACCAGCTGCTCCTTGGAAACTATACAAGGTCACTATCAGTGGGAACTGACTGAACAGCACTTAACAGCAACAAGACTGATGAGATGTATATGTGATTATTGGGAGGTTGAAGAGGAGAGGATAGGATTTGGAGCCATCATTCCCTCTTAATATATATAACACAAAACTGTATACATACTCACCTTTTTCCAGTGCATTTCCCCCTGTAAATTCTTTTAATAATATCCTCCATGTATTACTAGAACTTATTTCTAACCATTATGTGTAAGTAAATGTGTGTATGTACCTGAGAAGTGAAACTTAATTTCTTTAAGCTTCCTCTTTTTTTTTTTTTCTAGCTTCTAGTTTGTGCCTTAGCATCCTTTATTAAAATTGCTTTAAATATCTTTTTTAAAAAAATTTCCTTACTTATACACATCTAATTATGAATTTCACATGAAACTACTTTTATTTTAAACTCTGCTTTACAATTTTTTTCTACTTTATGTTTGCAGCTGAAGTGTAAAATTTTCAGCAAGGAAATGCTCAGTTTCTTGGCACCTTTCCATATAAAAAAATAAGTTTAGGTTTTTAATCTTTTAAGTCATTATCAATTTTTATAATTTTTCTTATTTAATATGTCATGGATATTAAATTATGTTTGTATATTGTTATTCAGGTGACTATTATATGGTTAAAAAGATTTTGGAGGAAAATTGTTCAGGTGACTTGAACATAAATTGCGTAGATGTGCTTGGGAGAAATGCTGTTACCATAACTATTGAAAACGAAAACTTGGATATACTGCAGCTTCTTTTGGACTACGGTTGTCAGGTACAAGGCTAGATAATTATACTCATTAGCTTTTAAGTACTGTTTGATGTGCTATAATTTCCTTCTTTCCTTTTTTTCCTTTCCCTCTCTCTTTTTCTTTCACCTTTTGTTTTGTTTTGAGTCACTTTAAAAGTTTTAAAAACAAACTACAAAAAGCAAATTTTAAGTTGACTTACATTCTTTATCTCAAATTTCACTCAGCCTCTCCCCATCCTTTTTATGCTTACAAATTCTGGTGGAGATTAATGTCATGAATTATTAAAGATGACTGCTTTTATCACCTATATTGCTATGATTTATACTAGATACCTAAAAATAGTGAAAGAGCTTTTAAGAGTGCCAAGGGAAACAGGTATTTCTATGGCCCAGTATTATTTACATGCATAAGAAAAAAATACTCCTGACTCATAAAGCAATTTTAAATTTGACTTTGCTTTTCTTCGATTAGGTTTTATATATTTTTGTCTGAAATTTAATGTTTGCTTCTAACTGAGGGTGAATAATTGTTTTTTTAACTGGAAAAGATAACCCTTTCTGTTTGTCTTCCTAATCAGTTCAAGTAGAAAAAAACCACAAGCTGTGAAAGAATGAAGAGAATTAAGAGTTCTGAAGTAAATTTAGTAAAATTATTTTCCTTTCCTTTTTGGTTATAATGATGAGACTTAGACTTAGCACAGTCATTGTGGCTTTTTTGTTTGTTTGCCTTCAAATGGCATGATTGTGCACTTTGTTGTGGTTTTAAATTAATTAGGCATAGTTTTTTAAGTAGCATGAGAATACTCTTAGCAGCTAAACATATATAATGGCCTTTCATTTTTTGAATATTCCTAGGTTAGTTCTGTTGCATAGTACTATCTCTATGTATATATACTTAGACTAAAAAAAAAAAAAATTTTTTTTAACCTTGTAACATCAACTATACCAAAACACAACTGAGAACCAGTAAATAAATAAAAAATAACTTTGAGTAGCCAGAATAGCTGTCTCGAAGTCTCCAAATTCAGTTTATTTATTTTATTTACCAGAGCATTTTTGGAGCCCTCCTTCAAGGCTATTTTGTTTTTTTTCTTTCATTTTAACAAAATTTATTACTGAATTTCCCAACATTTTGCAAACTTAATTACTTGTTTTCTTAACACATCCCATTAGAGGAATAATGGAAGGGGCATGAGGGCTTCAGTCGAACAAAATGTCTAGAAGTAGTATCTCTGACATTGTTTAATAAAAAAATCAAGAGCATTAAACATCTCAGAGGGATATATATGTTAATTATACATTCATATGTATATGTTAATTACCATTGCTATTGGTACTTTGAGATAAGCATTGAGCTGCTAACATCAAGGTTAGCAGTTCAAACCCATCAGCCGCTCTGTGGGAGAAAAATAAGGCTTTCTGCACCCATGGTCTCAGGAACCCTATAGAGGGTCTTTATAAATCGGAATCAACTCCATGGCAGTGGGTTTGCTTTTTTTTTTTTTAATTATATATAATCAATAGTAATTAATGTTAATAGTAATGGCTCAGAATCAGTAAGGAGAAGTTAAATTATATTCAGCACCTGTTATTTGAAAAGAAATAAGAAATATAGTATTTTTCTATAAACAGAAGATTTCTACCAGAATAGTTAAAATCTTAAACACTTAAAGGCATAAGCTTCAGTTACCTAGGAAATAAGAAACTCAGTACTTTCTGGTTCTGGATAAATGAGGTATGATGTAATACTCACTTTTTTATATACATATGAGTCTGTGCATATATAATAATATCTCTGAATATACATGATTCTTTATCATACATGATCACATTTGAACATTATAACTACACTATAGAGATGTTTCATTTTGCAGATAAAAAAACTGAGGCTCATAGACTTTAGTGAATCGCCCAGCATTCTAAAACTGGTAAGGGCAAAGCTAAGATTTAAACTTTGATCTTTTAACTGCAAATCCCATGCTCTTTCCAATCCACTGTGTTCTCTTTTAGGTCATGTATGTCTTATCTATCAGTCAACAAATGCCCAAGGAGTTCTATTGGAGGTGATTGTAAAAATGATTAAGTAAAATATGATTTGTGTGCTAAAAGATCTTAAGACTAACTGAACACAAAAAGTATATATGCATTACAAGTTAACTAAATAATATAAAAGCATATTTGATAAATGCTGATTGGTAAAAATTCTTGACTCTGTATATTGTTTTGAGGTTTCATGTATTTTATCTTGTTTTATACCAGTAGTATTCAACTGGGCATTTGGCCCCCCAAGGGGTTATTTGGCTTTGTCTGGAGACATTGTTGGTTGTCATAGCTGGAAGGCAGGTTGCTACTGGTATCTAGTTGGGGGGAGGATAAATATACTTCTACATATATCTAATACACAGGATAGCTCCCACAATAAAGAATTATCCACCCTAAATTGTGAGTTACACCCTTCCTGAGAAGCCCTGATTTATACTTACAATTTTGTGGTTCACAATAAATGTGTCAAAAACATAGAAAAGGGTAAGGTCACTGTGGATTGGAGCTATCAAAAAAGTTTTCTTGAAAGAGGTGTCAGTTAAGCTCAGTCTTGAAATATTAATAATTGTGAACATTTATGTAGTGCACTCTGTGCTGAGAACCTTAAGTACATTTTCTGTTGAGTTGGCTCTGACTCATGGTGACCTTGCATGTAACAGAATGAAATATTACTTGGTTCTGTGCCTTTTGTGTATTCTGTGTCAGTCTGTCTCATTGAAGTTTTCCCTTGTTTTCTATGATTTCAGTGTCTGTACTTAATTAATCCTCACAACAGTTTCATTAGGTAAGCATTATTATTATCTCCCTTTTATAGGGAAGGAAATTGAGGTACAGAAAGTTTAAATAACTTGTCCAAAGTCACTCCATAAATGGCAAACCTAGAATTTGAGCCCTAGTTTTGGCTCAAGAATTCATGCTCTTATTACCATAATATACTCTCCAGAATGTATAGTTAGAAGAGAGAACAGAGTATGTGGAGAAGGATGTAAACAAAGGTACCTGTAATATATGTTCTTGGGATAGTGAACTGACCTAGTTTTTTTAAACAGATTTATTTGGACTGGAGAGTAGTGAGATAATTCAGGAAAAAGAACTAAGCAAGCTGATGTAGAGAGTCTTGAGTACCAGGCCAAGGGATTTTGCCTTTACTCTGTGATATGTGTTTAGCATAAATTGGGAAATGGAGATGGGGAAAGACAATAATAGCCCAAGTGAGCAGTTTTTGTAGTAATCACAACATAAAGAGGTTAAGGTCTGAACTGAATTAGTGGCAATAAGAATGGGAAAACAGTGGCAGATATAAGAAATATTATGAAGGAAGAATTAACAGAACCTAGTGTGACACTGTAGGGTAAGTGCTCGACTACAAGGTTGGTTTCAATCACACTCACCAGCCGCTCCTCTGAAACACTATACAGGGTCGTTATGAGTCGGAATCGACTCGATGACACTTAACAACAACAGTGATTATTTGGAAGGGGGGAATTGAGAAGGATTCCAAGGTCATTTAGAAATCTTAAACATTAAAGTCTAGGTGAAGAATGAAAGAAAAATTGAGTGTTCAGAAGAGAAGTAAGGCATGAGACAGAGGAATGTGGATTCTAGTTTTAGCCATACTTATTTGGGGTGATATGAAGTAATGTTCAGCATAGATGAAGATTATGTCTCTAGGGAGAGGTCAGCTAGTAGCAATGATGACTCTAGAGGTGACCACTCATGTGGGTGAAGTGGGTAAAGTCACAGAAAAGAGCAAGAGGGTGGTATAGATTCTGTCTTAGTGAGCAGCTACATTTAAGGGCATTGGAAGGAAAGGATTTCATTGTCGTTTTTGGTTCCAATCCATAGCAACCCTGTATAGGATTTCCAAGGAGCAACTGGTGAGCTTGAACTGCCAACCTTGCAGTTCAAGATGACTTTGCAGCCCTGCACATTAACCCACAGCGCCACACCAGGACTCAGGTTAAAGTTGTCACAGGTAGTTAGGTTAATGCAGCACTGTGAAAACCAAAGAAACAGGATTAATACATTGTTTAAGAATTAAGGAGAATGAAGAGGAGAAAAGGACATTGAACTTTGAAATTTAGCATCAGTAGAATTAGAAAAAAATGTTTGATTTGAGAAGTTTGACACAGTGAAAGGAAGAAGGAAACTGGAGTGACAAGAAAGAGGATGCAGTCAAATTAGCAAAGAATAAAGAAGGATTTCACGTTTTAGGTGGTGGGGTTTGGAGTTGCTGTTTCTGCGAATGAAGGATTAAAGGCCTGTAGAGGGCATGAGAGTATAAAACAGAATACCAAGTTGGAGAATTTAGCTTTGTAAAGGCATTATTAAGTCACTTCTTACTGTGAATTTAGAGGAAAGAGTATGGGAATTGTTGAAGAGATAATTCGGAGATGAGAAGAAATAGAAGAACCTTATAAATACATAACAAATATATGATTTGAATAGTAGTTTTACTTGTTGTTCGTTGCTGTTGAGTGGGTTCTCACTCCTAGTGAACTAACATACAAGTACAGAACGAGACACTGCCCAGTTCTGTGCCATCTTCATTATCGTTGCTGTATTTGAACCATTATTATAGCAGATTTAAAATAGAATGCTCAAATATCTGTGAGAAATTGGCAACAAAACTAGTGGGGAGATTTTGTATAGCTCCAGTGGAGAGATTGTGTATACCTGACACTGTAGGATAAGCACTGGTCTTCTAACTGCAAGGTTGACAGTTCAAATTCATCAGCTACTCCTCAGAAACCCTGTACAGGGTTATTATGAGTCAGAACTGACTCAGTGGCACATAACAATAATAATAACATAGATAGTTTTGAAAGAATTTAAAATATTTTTTTCCTTCAAAACTGCCCTTGATTTATCAAGTAGCATAACCATTTGTACAGAGTAAGTCAATGGTAAATTCATTTACATGACTTTTAAAAATATGATTATTTTTTATAACTGAAGCTTATCCTTTAGGCATCAAAATATTATGAATTTTTATTCTTTACCTGAATAGTGTATTCTGAATATAATTTAACTTTAAGTTGAATGTAATCATTTTACTTGACTTCATATGATCAGAAATTGTTAACATGTCTGGATCTACATTCAGTGGTTTTGGACTGTTATGCATCAATAGTGACTTGCTGTACCAGTGTTTTATCTTTTCAGTGGTTAACATTTAGCAGTTTTTTATGCCCCCCCCCACTTTGTTGGTTTTAATCTACTTTTCCTTTATTCAATGAACATCTGAAGGGTTCTTGGGAAAACCAGATATCCGTCATATATAGACAGTTCTAAGTCGGTGAGCTTAGGCCTGGTTCTTCTGAAAAATAATGTCAATGAAATGAACTTGTTGACAGTTCAATATATTTGTCTTTGAAAGTTGCTTCTCAGATCCATGGCTGTGTTTCACATGATCTATATTGCCTGGTTGACTTTGAGGGAGACATTACTATAGTTCGCTTCATAGGTTAAAATTAAAAATCATAAATCAAATGCCTAGTAGCAATGAGCACACCATTCCTTTTGTTTGTTTGTTTGTTTCAACTGACTAAGTTAACTGAAAGCTGAAAAGAAATGTTTGCAGAAGAAGAATAATTTTAGGTCTCAAAGCATAGGCTAGAGCTCAATGAACCTTAAAAGTTATAAGGAGTAAAACAATAAACTAAATTTCCCATTGAAGTGGGGAATGTTTTCCTGTGTGAAACACATAGGCTTTTTCTACTAATTGAATGAGTCCTCCATTCCTTCTTTGGGGTGCTTATCCTTATTTTCAGACATCAAGGTAAAGTCTGCCATTTTTTGTCCTATTTTTGACATCCAGATAAAGTGAATGAAAGCTTTCAACTGCAGAGAATATTAAAGCTCTGGTAATAGTTTCATTTTGAGAGAGAATATTAATTTGAACAGTTAAGAAAAACTGGGAGAAAATGTACAGATTGAAAATTATCAGGACATTTTCTTAGATTAAATTGTTATTTACCCCCATGTTTCTCTCTTTGAAAAAAAACAACTGACCTAATTGTTGCCATGTATCATAATAAAAGTAGAGGCTTTCTCACAGAGTTGAAAAGTTCCACATTTCTTCAGCTTCTGCCGACTTTTTTTCCTACTGTCAGAGTTCAAAGTTCACAATGAGAATTTTGGGAGTAGAACTATAAAGTCAGCACTCCTGCTCTCTAAGGAAATTGCTAACCTCATTCTTTGTGGTTTTTACTTTATAAAATTGCTAATGTTAAATTTGTACAATTTAGGTCAATCATGTAAATTTTAAAGATTATAATAGAATTCCAGCTTTTACATAATTTCCATTCTTCCCAATCCTTGTGTTTGCATAGATGATCATTTTTATTAAATGGATCATAATGATTTACCTGTAATAATAGTTCCTGGGAATTTCTTTTATAGATTTAGAATGCCAGGACTCTTTTAACCCACATGTTACATTCTTAATTTTTTTTAAAATCAGCTTTAAATATTGTGTGGATTAGCATTGTTCCAACTAATAGCCCCCTCTACCAAGAATTCATTATATTACCAGCTCATGCATTGAAACCGGGACAGAAACATGTATGTTATAGTACATAGAAATGTAGCCAAGACAAGCAAATATACTGTCTGTGCAGTCTAAAATTTTAAAAAGTCAGTACTACTGCATATAATACAATTCAAATAAAAAAATAGTTTTAGTTGTGAATTACTAAAAAGAAATAGTTCATCTTTTTATTTTCCATTTTCATTTTTAACCTTTTTTTTTTTAAAGTCCACAGATGCACTTTTGGTGGCAATCGACTCTGAAGTAGTGGGAGCTGTTGATATACTACTTAATCATCGACCAAAACGATCATCAAGACCAACTATAGTAGTTAGTACTCTTAAGTATTTATAATTTTGGATTTTTAAACCAAAATAGATATCCTGCCCCATTTTTTTTCTTCCCCCAAATTTATTTTCCTTTAAAGAAAAAAGAAATTTTATAGTGTAATATATTACTTTTAAGTAATAGATACTTGAAAAAATAATTCATATTCCTTTTAGAAAATATTTTTTAAAGTAGTTATGTTTCCATAATTTTGACAGTATAGACCACCATTTTTAGTTTGGAATATTCCATAGCTAATGTTGAAAATATAGATTAGTTTCCACTTGGATTTGAGAATTAAATGTAAGCAGTCGATCCATAAATGTAGGTGAATAGTTAACCAGTTAGGAATGGAGGGACTTTCTAGCTATAAAAGCAATGGACAAAAAAACCATAATCACAGTGGCAAAGATCAGTGTCTTTGATTATAGAAGTTAAGTTTTTGGAATTCAAATATCATACAAAGCAGGTATATAACTGGGAAAATATATTTGCAGCATATATTACAACTTGATAATTTAAAGAATTTATACATTAATGAAAAACAGCAGAATGCTCAAACTTATGAAAAACACCAAAAGTCATTGTAGAAAAGGACATGAAAATAATCTTGGAAAATAAAGTATAAAATATTAAACATTCCAGATAATCAAATATAATGAGATACTAATTTTTGCTTATCAAATTAGCAAAGATTATTTAAACTAATAATTCTTCATAGCAAGGGAGTAGTACAGTCTCATATGCTACTGGTAGGGAGGGTGTTTTGGAAAGCAGTTTGGTAGGATGTAGTATAAACAAGAAAAATGTTCATATTCTTTAACTTAAGGCTTTCTCCTTTGAGAATTTTTCAAGAAAATGATCTAAAATATGAACAAAAAAGGTTAATGGTAATCTTATTTGCAGGAGTAAGAAAAGAAAGTAAAAGAAAACAGAAGGAAGAAAAACGGGCAGGCATGAAGGCCATGTGAAACAATCTAATAAACATTGCAAATAGAAGATTAAAGATATATATACACACACACACAAAATGGAATATTATGTAACTACTAGAATTATATTTTAAAACATGGAAAATATGATAAAGTGAGTGAAAAACATAAGAATACTAAACTGCATATAATATAATCCAAAGTTAATACATAGAAAAAGGACTAACAAGGGTTCCCTCTTAATTGTCAAGTTAAGGATATTTTTTCTTAGATTTTATATTTTCTTTATTGCTTTTGTAATTAGGAATGTAGTCAGAAATCATCAAATAAATCCTACATTAAAAATGAGACATTTGTTTTTATCAAATTAAAAATTATAACATTTTTATTGGTGAGGTTACAGTAAAACTGTTTAAATAACTACTGGGAGTGTAAACTAGGTGTAAAAAGAAGAAAAATATTGTTTTCAAAGAATTATATATTGGTTACAGATTATCTTCCATGAACTGAAAATGGAGAGACTGTGCTCTATTGCATATTTTATCACCTATTAACTGAAATGTGTACTCTCAATGATAAGGGAAAAAGGGCAGTAAATACTCATTTAGATTATTATATGTTTGTATAAGTGTAACTTTATACCACTGAGTTTAAGTGGTGGTAAGAAGCCATAGAAACAGGAAAAAAGGTTAAGAATATAGTTCTTGTAAAATGGATCAGAAATATCTAGACTCTGTTGAGTTTTCTGTCATACAGCATACATTTCTACTATAATGTGTGTCTTTTCCACCTTCTGGACTCCTGGTGTGGCATTGCAGGATAAGCACTGGACTGTGAACTACAAGGTTGACGGTTCAAACCCACTAGCTGTCCCTTGGAATCCCAATACAGGGTTGCTAGGAGTCAGAACTGACTTGACCGCGCTAAACAGCAACAACAATTCCACTTTCTAACCTTTTAACTCATTTAAGTTGGAATCACTGAATGGAATCACCATTACCAAGAAAAGAGCTCTGAGGGCACAGTGGTTAAAGCTCTTGGCTACTAATTGTTGACAGTTTGAACCCACAGTTGTTCCTCAAAAGAAAGATTTGGCAGTCTGCTTCTGTAAAGATTTACCATTACCAATCAGAGTTACTGATTGTTACCAATTAGAGAATGTTCAAGTTAGGAGGCCATGGCAGTCCTCATCTACACAGTTGTATCTTTAACAAATGAGGGCTACCCAGACTTTGCTTGAATAATTACACTGAGAATGAAATCACATTTTAACAGTTGCCATTTCTAGACAAGCAATATAAAATATTTTTATATACTTTTTTTAACCACTTCATTGAATTCATTATGTATTTTTGACTTAGAAGAATTATCTTTTTGGTAATTAGTTTTCAAATACAGGTTGCTTGTTTACTAACACATAGATTATATTAGAAACAATGAAATTTTGAACTTTATGCATCTATAATAAAAGTATTTTTCATACAGCTAACAGAAAAATGAGGTCCATTCTCTAATGGTAAATCTATTTTCTCTTCTTTATAACCAGTAATGCAATGAAAAGGATAAAAAATAGGCAAACATTTTAAGTTTCACTATAATTTCTAACGTTTAAAAATAGATTCAGGGCTCTTGGTCTCCTTAGGTGACGTAAGCGTACCCCCTCCCAGGTTTACTCTCAATAAACCTGCCTGCTGTTGAAACCAAAAAAATAAGTAAATAAATAAATTCATTAAGCCCCAGTAAATAAATGGGCAAGTATATAAAAGCTATTCATAAAGGGGGGGGGGGGAGATGACAATAAGTATGTGGGAAAATAGTCAAATCTACCAGTAATCAAAGAAAAACAAACTAAAATTTCATGCTCATATGTTTCACTCATATTGAGAGTGATCATTCCTAGTGCAGGTGAGTAAAGCTTTTATGTGAAATGGGTATATTCGTATATATTGGTATTATCACTATTAAAAAGACTTTGAAAATATGTGTCAATCTCAGGCTCTGTGTTAATGAGATAATCCTAAACTTGGAAAATGTATTCATGAAGATGTTTGCAGTGTTGTTATTTAAATTAACTAAATGAAATACTTTGAACACAGGATCTATGAACCCCCTTAAATTGCATTTAAAGTTCCTTGCATGATAGTTTTCTGAACATCTTGGGCTACACCTTTATGAGATTATTAAAAGGGCCCATGATCCCCTAAGTATTACTATCCATTGTTTCTAAACACTAGTGGTTAGCATATTCACTATTTATGCAAAAAATACCCTTGAAAAGGGATGTGGTAGAGAATGCACTAGAAGGAAATACTGTACTTGAGATGTTCTTTGGGTAGTAGGAAGATAGGTGTTTTGATTTTTCCTGCTTTTCTGTATTTTTCAGATACTTTGAGTATGTACTACTTTTATAATCTTAGTGAAAATTAAAAAAAAAAAAAAAAAATAGTGAACCGCTGTGTTTAACTTATGAAACCAAACACGGGGATACCTGTGTGAAAAAGTGAACGGTACTAAAAAGAATATGCAATAGTCATAAAATATTCAACCTTTTAGTTACTCTGATCCTTTGATTACTAATGATTCATTCCTCATGTCGTTCCATCCAGGCCCAGGGAACTATGAAGTGGAAGGAGCTCAGGCTCCAGAGTAATACAGACATAGGTTCTGATCAGCACTCAGCCACTTTCTTGCATGGCTTGGGCACATTAACTTCTTTGAGCCTCAGTTTCTTTGTGGGGATTAATTATAACACTCAATTTTACAGGCAGTTGTAGGGGTAAGAGATGATAAATGATGAAATGCCTAACAGTTCCAACACTCATTAAATAGTAGCTATGGTTGTTAGTGCTTTTTTGTGTCTGTGGGAGAAAAATAGTACAGCTAATGATTGGGAATGTGTAGGAAAATTAAACAAAATGAAGGAAAGTTCATATTCAAACTGTTCCCTTTCACTTAGCTTCATTAATGTCATTGATCTCAGGTATGCCATAGAGGTAGAATTTTTAAAGTTTTTCTCATGCATTTTTACTCTGCCTATTTTTGTTACCATTTCTGTTTTTTTCATTATATTCTTTTCCTAAAATTCTGTTCTTTATCCTTGCCATGATGCATGCTTACATAAGCTTGTGGAATTTTAAAAACTTTTTCCTAAAATGTTTCTCTAGTTATCTTTACTTCTTTGTTGTGCAATAGTACTGTATAATTATATAAATGTTTCCTATTAAAATGTTTGTAGTGCTATGATTTTATTGTATTTTAATTAAAGCTTTGTGATTCTTTAAAAATTATTCTCTGTAAAATGTTTTTTATATTACTAAAACAATTCTTATGTTCTTTATGCCTTATTTTTTTCACTTCTTTCTTCGGATAAACATACTTTCTCGAAGTCACAAATAATAATTTTTGGACATTTATATAAATATATTTCAGAAACTAATGGAACGGATTCAGAATCCGGAGTATTCAACAACTATGGATGTTGCGCCTGTCATTTTAGCTGCTCATCGTAACAACTATGAAATTCTTACAATGCTGTTAAAGCAGGATGTATCTCTACCCAAGCCCCATGCAGTTGGCTGTGAATGCACATTGTGTTCTGCAAAAAACAAAAAGGACAGCCTCCGGCATTCCAGGTTAGAAAATAAAGATTTTAATAAATAGATGTATTATGCAGTAAGGTATATGTCAACAATGTTGACATTTTGGGTGGTGATCTTTCTGTGTAGATTTTAAAAAATATGATGCTAGGGTGACTTTGTCTCTCTTTTTTGAAACTTTTTATTGTGAGTTGAGTGAAGGTTTACAGAGAAGATCATCAGCTTTCATTCAACAAATGGTATACTTTGTTTCATCTCCATGATTATAACCCCCTCCCTGCAACAATAGTTAATCCCACTTCCTCCCTGTGGTTCTCATTTCCATACCACCTTCTTATACCTTCTCAAGATAAATGAGTGCCTATTTGATATGCATATGAACACACTTTATGAGTATTGTTGACCTCCCTATATACCTATCTACTGCTCCACTGAAAATTGGACCACGAGACTTAGTTTAATTGCAGACTTTAAGGATGGCCAAGGACCACAATCTCAGGTTCCTCTAGTCTCTTTCTGACCAGTAAGTTCAGTCTTTAAGAAATTTTTTTTGTAATTTTGAGTTTTGTTCCATATCTTTTGCTATGCTGTTTGGGACCATCTATGCTCTGGAATCGACTCAACAGCAGTAATCAACAACAACAGCATCAACAGTGTGATCCCTCCACCACTTGTCAGTTTGTTGCACTGTGGTGGCTTGTGTGTTGCTTGATGCTGGAAGTTATGCCACAGGTATTTTGAATGCCAACAGGGCCACCTATGGTAGACAGGTTTCAGCTGAGGTTCCAGACTAACACAAACTCAGAAGGAGGAGAGACGGACTATTTCCTAATGTTTAGCTACTGAAAGCCTTGAATAGCAGTGGAACATTGTCAGCTAGCACCAGAATATTGAATATTGAAACATGATAAATAGCACCAGAATATTGTCAGATACAGTGCCAGAAGATGAATCCTTCAGGTTGGAAGGCATTCAAAAAAACAACTAGGGAAGAATTGCCTCCTCAAAGTAGAGCTGACCATGATGACGCATAGAGCTTTTGGGACATTCATTTGCTGATGGGGGAACAACTCAAAATGAGGCAAAACAGATGGAAATATCCATTAATAATTGGAACATGGAATGTATGAAGTATAAATTTAGGAACATGAGAATTTATAAATTTAGGAACAATGAAAAGGAAAACAAATATTGATATCCTAGGCATTAGTGAGCTGAAATAGACTGGTATTGACCATTTTGAATCTGACAATCACATGGTTTACTATGCCAGGAATGACAAATTGAAGAGGAATGGCATATTCAACAGTAAAGAGGACATTTTAAGATCTATCTTGAAGTTTAATGCTGTCTGTGATAGTATAATATCGATATACCTACAAAGAAGACCAATTAATACCACTATTATCCAAATTTATGCACCAACCACTGAAATCAGTGGTTTAGTGATGAATTCTGCCAACTTCTTCAGTCTGAAGTTGATCAAACATGCAATCAAGATGTTTACTGGAGATTGGAATGCAAAGGTTGGAAACAATGAGAAAAGATCAGTAGTTGGAAAATATGGTCTTGGTGATAAAATTGAATTTCAGTACAAACTGAAAAATTTCAAAAACTGATACAGCCCTGGAGGCACTCACTATGCCAAGAAATTTGGAAGATAGCTGCCTGGTCTACTGATTGGAGGAGATCTATATTTGTGTCCATTCCAAAGAGAGGTGACCCAAAGGAATGTGGAAACATCAGACAATATCATTAATATCATATGCAAGTAAAATTTGCTAATGATGATTCAAAAACATCTGCAACAATACATTGACAGGGAACTGCCAGAGGCCCAAGCTGGATTCAGACAAGGACGTGGGACATCAGATGGATCTTGGCTGAATGCAGAGAATACCAGGAAGATGTTTACCTGTACTTTATTGACTTTACAGAGGCTTTTGATGGTGTGGATCATGACAAGCTATAGACAGCACTGCAGATAATGAGTATTCTGGAATATTGTACTGATGAGGAACCTGCAAATAGACCAACAAGTAGTTAGTTGTCCAAACAGAACAAGGAAATATTGAGCGGTTTAAAATCAGGAAAGGTGTGTGCCAGGTGTGCATTCTTTGACTATACTTAATCTGTATGCTTAGCAAATAATCCTAGGAACTGGATTATATAAAGAAGAACATGATATTAGGATTAGAGGAATACTGATTAACAACTTGCTGTATGCAGATGATATATACATTGCTTCCCGAAAGGGAAGAGGACATAAAATACTTACTGATGAAGATCAAAGACCAGAGCCTTCTGTATGGGTTGCACCTCAATGTAAAGAAAATAAAAATCCTCTCCACTGGAGCAATCAATAATTTTATGATTAATAGAGAAAACATTGAAGTTGTCAAATACTTCATTTTGCTTGAATCCACTATCAACACTTATGGAAACAGCAGTCAAGAAATCAAACAACGTATTGCAATAGGCAAATTTGCTGCACAAGACCCCTTTAAAATGTTGAATAGCAAAGATATGTTTGAGGCCTAAAGTATGCCTAACCCAAGCCATGGTATTTTCGGTTGCTGTATATGCATGTGAAAGTTGGATAGTGAATAAGGAAGGCTGTAGAAGAATTGATGCATTAGAGTTATGGTATTGGAGAAGAATATTAAACTGTAGGCTGCAAAAAGAACAAACAAATCTGTGTTGGACGAAGTACAACCAGAATGGCCCTTAGGAGTCAAGATGACGAGACTTTGTCTCCCATACTTCAGATATATTATCAGGAGGGACCAGTTCCTGGAGAAGGATATCATGCTTGGTAAAGTTGGAGGGTCAGCAAAAAACAAACAAACTCCCAGTTAGATGGATTGGCACTGAAGCAACAAATGTGAGGATGGTGCAGGACTGAGCAGTATTTGGTTTTGTTGTACATAGGGTCCCCATGTGTAGAACCAACTCAACAGCACCTAACAACTATGTGATCTCTTTTAGAGCAGTTGGGAGTCTAGTTCTTCTGGTCATAGAGTTGTGGAGACTGATGTTCATGTGGTCCGTTGGTCTATTGGACTGATTGATTCCAGCATCTTTAATTCTCATCACTCGTCTCTCTTCTGCACATGGAGAGACCAATAGTTGTACCTTAGATAGCCACTTAGGAGCTTTTAAGACAGTTAGAACTCACCAATGGAGGATGCAAAACACTGTCTTTGTGAACTATGTTATGCCACGGTGTCTGCCAGGGTGACTTACGACAAATTTGTAGCCTCTTTGCATTATACATGAGTTCTGCATTTTTTTTTTTTCTAGAAATCTTACTAAAATCTAAATAAGAAAAAGTTTTAAGTCATAAGTAAGTTTTATCTCATACTCACTACTGGGAGGGACTATTTGCTTTTTAGAAGCAAAATTTATTAATATAAGAGTTTTCAAGTAGTAGAAGGGTTTGAGATACAACTGTCTACCTTATTTACAAGGAAATAAAAATTTTCTATGTAACTAAACATTTGACCTATTACTCTTTTCAGTTTCTTTCTCATACAATAGTCAAATCTTTATTTCTTTGCCCCATTCATCCCTCTCGATCCTGCCCCTTAAATAGTCTCATCCTTTTAGAACTGATAAGTAATAGACCAAGATACTACCCTATCTTGTTCAAGTTGAGCAAAATTGCAAATTTGAACATGTTGCATTAGGGGTATAGTTCTGGAATATAATTGAAAATATAATTTTCAGCATAGACTTAGATACATATGTTGTTGTTGTTATGTGCCGTGGAGTTGGTTCCGACTCATAGCGACCCTGTATGGGGTTTCGAGGCTGTAAATCTTTATGGGAGCAGAAAGCCTCATCTTTCTCCCGTGAAACAGCTGGTAGTTTCGAACTGCTGACCTTGCGGTTCACAGCCCGATTCGTAAACACATACATATATATATATGGTAATTTAATATAGTTGAAATAATATCAACTGTAATAATAGCATTTTCTATGGAAAATAGATTCTGGAAGTCCCAGGCAACCCACTAACAAATTGTTCTCAAGGTTAAGATTTATTGTACAGTATTTTATCAGGAGGGTCCAGAAGGACATATGCTTAGTAAAGGGAAGGGTCAGTAAAAAAGAGTAAAGCCCCAATGAAACCAATTGGCATAATGGCAGCAGCAATGGGCTCAAGCATAACAACAGTTGTGAGGATGGCTCAGGACCTGGCAGTGTTGTTTTGTTCTGTTGTGCTTAGAGTCACACTTACTCAATGATATCTAACAACAATATGAAATTAGCTTTGGAGATACAAACCATTCACCTTCACATTTTCCTCACCTTAAGGACAGATTTTTGGTTGATTGACAGATAGTTACATGGCTATAAATTGGGAGAGTCACATGTGAATCAGTTTAATGTTTATTTGCATAAGTTGAATTAGAAAAAAAAATTTCAAGTCTTTATTTTACAAAGAGATTTATGCTTCTCTTTGATAAGATCTAGTTAATAGTTATGGAGTCCTGGTGTGGAGCTGTAGGATCAGCACTGGACTGCTATCTACAAAGTTAGCAGTTCAAGCCTACCAGCCCTTGAAACTCTAAAAAGGGTCTCTGAGTCAGAAGTGACTTGATGGCACACATTCACAGCTACAGTTGATAGCTATGACTATGGCACTTAACCTTTTCATTCTTAAAATGACTCATCTGTAAACTGACAAGTAGAGATGATATGATCTTTAAGACTTCTTCCAGTTTTAAAATTTATTAATATTAAATGTGAATATTTTTAAAATAGCATGCTTGTTACATGTATGTTCTTTGAAGTACTTGGGATGAGGACTGGAATTGGAAAAAGCACATAACCTAGTTTGGTTTGAAGTGGAAGAAAAAGCTTTAATCTGAAAGAGGAGCTATGCCCTGAGCTGCAAGGAGCCTTGGTGGATGAGTGCTGGACTGCTAACCCCAAGGTTGTTGGCTCAAACCCACCAGCAGCTACATGGGAAAAAGATTAGGTGGTTTGCTCTCTTAAAGATTTACAGTCTTGGAAACTGCATAAGAGGTCACTGTGAGTCAGAATCGACTCAGTGGCGGTGGGCTGTTTTTTGTTTTTTTTTAATAGCCGGAGCTAGATCTTGAAGTATGAGTAAGAATAAAAAGGTGAAAGTTGTTAGACAGGAAGTACAGCATGTGATTATAGTTCGTTTGTTAGATGCTGTAAATAATTTGGTACATATGTGTACCGAACTATTTACAGCATCTAACAACTATTTTGTAAGTTTGTCACTGATTCTTGAGGAAAAAGTTAACAGCAAATGGGAAAGGACTACGACTAAAGTCCTTTTTGGAGTCCTGGTGTGGTACTGTGGTTTAATGCACTGGACTGCAAAGTAATTTGAACCACAAGGTCAGCGGTTCAAGCTCACCAGCCACTCCTCGGAAACCCTATACAGGGTCACTATGGGATGGAACTGACTCGATGGCACTTAACCACACAACAAAAGTCGTTTTCAGAGATTGGTAGGTTGCAACTGAAATAAAAAAGGTGACTAACAAACTGAGTAGCCCTTGTACTCCTTCTGTGTCTCCAGGAGGTCATGAGAGCTATCTGTTTGAAACCCCCATTCCTCCCATGCAAGTGACGACCATGAGGTTTCACAGGAGAAAAGGGAAGCTTATCAGACAGTTTTGTTTAAGGAAAAGAGGTGAGCATTTACAGGCTGTTGGGTGCCCAACTTATTCTGTAGAAAAACTACAGCTTTTATATGGTTTTTACTTCTATACATTTGGTGCTTATCTTCTATTAGATTTAAATATCATGACAGTAGTACAAATGGTAAAATCAACAATTTAGAAATTGAAATTGGGGATAGTATGGTGTTTGAAAGAATAAATGTATGTTGCTGTTTTAAAACAAAACAAAAAGATCAGAAGTTCAAAATTGCTGACCTAAGAGCATCCAGCCTTAAGTTAGCACCATTATTCCTCAGAGCAGTGTCAGTCCGTGGTCTGGATGGCTCCACGTGGTTTTCTCATGGCCTGCTCTCCCACACGCAGTGACCATTGTGGCAAAACATAGGAGCTGCCAGCTCTGAGCTTCAGGAAGCTCCGGGGCCAAGTTCTCTCATTCTGCTACTGCCAGAAAGCCTGTCCCTGGTACTGTCATAACTTATATCCCTTCCCTTCATCCCTAGGGCCATTGAGGTCATTCATAGGTAAACAGAAACCAAGCACTAGGAAGGTGCAAGACAACCTCCCAGCACCCACTCTGTGCCCCCCTGTGGCCTTGGCCATGTGCTCTGGCCTTATGTTTCTTTCTACCCCGTCAAGGCCCCAGAGCCCAGGGAGAGAGCACCTGGGACTGGCTCGTGCCATGGCTTTGGCCCCATAGTTTTGCATCTGCCCTCTCCTTCTGCATTAGAATCTCCATCTCATCTGGAAAAATACTTAAAGTGTTGTTTATAAAAAAAAATATCTAT